CTTTACTTTGTGAAACTGAAAGTTGCCAATTGACAAAGTGGCTTTTCATAGTAAAGTTTACTTTAAAAAATTTTTTTTATATTGTGTGACTCAGGGTTTTATGAGCCAATAAAATCGAATGTCCGCTATGCTGTGACGAACAGAGTCACGCGGACCAATCAAATGCCGAGAATTGTACAGACATTTGCCTGTAAACCATACACTACGTACTTTGTACTCCGTTCCTGGTATATTAATTTCTGTGTATTTTAAAATTTTAAGATGCTGATATTACACTATGTAGCATTATGCATCATGTGACATGGCATGTTGACATTAGGTTTTATAATATAGTATATAAAAAGGTGGTTTACAAAAAAATAATGTTTTTAATAAAGAAACAAAGTAGTTGCAACAAAAAAATAATTATAAATAAGAATACATATATATAAATATTGGTAATTAGAATTTCCTTGGTTTAATCTTAATCATTAATTCACGACAAGAGGTAATAAAATCAGCATCATATTTAAGTGGTGCATTAATATCCGCCAAATCAATATCGTAACTTCTGTAAACTAATGTTATTAAACATTTTAATTCTGTTATTGCCAATTTTCTTCCAGGACACATTCTAATTCCACCTCCAAACATAGAATAAGTATTTTTCATTTTTTTCTTTTCAAGTAAATATTTATCTTCATCACTTTCTTCAACTTTATAAAATCTGTCAGGGTCGAATTTTTCAGGATCGGTCCAATAATTTTTACTTTTCATTATTGAGCCAAAATGCATGTGAAATACTGATCCTTCTGGCCATTCGTATCCTCCAATGTTGTCACTTTCAGCACTTACGCGACCGACAATAAAAGCTACAGGACGATGACGATTTACTTCTTTAATAACTGCATCGCAATATTGTAATTCTTCAAGTTCTTTATATGTTACAGGTCTTGTTAAGTCATTTCCAAAAACTTTATCGAATTCTTGCCGTAATCGTTTTTTTACTTCAGGATTATGTTCGAGATAATATACGATAAAGCAAAACATATTCGCAGCCTATAATTTAACAAGAAATATGTTTATATAGGTTTTTCTTTTTTTTTTTTTTTTTAAAGAAAAAAAAAGTTAAAATTTTATTTTATTTTACTTACAGATTCAGTTCCTGCGGTAATTGCCTCAAATATATTGTCAACAATCTCTTTATCGTTCATTGGTCTCAAAATATCTACCGTTTCACTATGTTTAATAATATTTATATCACGTGGGGTATTTGTGGTTATATGTGACGTTAAAAAATCATGACGAAGTGGTTGATCTAATGGTGTATTCTCAATTTCAATTCTTCTTTCTTTGACAATTTTACCCACTTTATCAAAAAGTTTTTCCTTATTTTTTAATAAATTATTTATTTTTCCGCGAATAACCGGAATATTATTACGTATAAACTTATTCAAAATGAAAAAATAACCAACACCATCCATATAAGTATGGATTGATTGAACAAAATCTTCAGAATATTTCAATCTTTCTTGTTCATTTTCATTTAAAGACTTGATATTTTCAGGAGCAAAAACGGTATAATAATAAGCAGCAACCGAATTATTCTTTACTCCAGTTGCAGTTTTAAAAATAATTTCATTTGTAATTCTATGCATCCATTCTGCAAGATCAAATTCTTTATTTTCATCAATTTTATTCCAATAGGATTCTATTTCTTTCCATAGTTCATTTGTCCATTCAATAGATAAATGTTCAACTTTTGATGAAAACATAGCCTGAGAAAAAAATTGCCGATTAAATCTCCAAGATTTGGGTTCGTTATTATTACCTACTCCTGCACCAATTCCGTATTCAATAAGTCCTTCTGTATCTTCAAATCTATTAGGATATTTAGTTTTTGTTGAATTTTT